CGGCCCTGGGCAAACCCCCAACGGTGTCTTTTTTTTTGTGCCTTGCTGGATTTTCTACTTACGCACGCCTCATGGAAAACTTGAGTTAAAATGAACCAGTGGTAGCGTTATGGGGTTGGAAATAGGTAACAAATTGCTGGGTGAGGGGTTTATGTACACTGGATCTTTGAAATATTGTTATATCTGAGAATTTTCAAATTGCTGAATGTCGAAGAGTTTAGAAAACAAAAATTTGTCCGTACTAAAAATTGTTGAAGGTGTTTGTTCCTTAGTCAAAGACTCTTCTAGACCCTTGTGAGACTATTTGACATATTTCTTACAATATAATTTAACATATACTTATTACAATATAAATCTTGTATATTTCACATAGGTATATGTAACAGTCTGTGTTACTTTTAATTTAAAAATAGTTCTAAGGAAGCTTGAAGCTCTGAATTCCTACCTATGTCTGCTCTTTCAGGTGCCACTTTTCAGCATTCCTGATTCTTTTGTACTTTGATATCCACTTACAAAGGAATAAAATTTGATGAAAGTAAAATGTTATACAGTACAGTGGGGACTTTTGTGTGTAATTTTATTATTCAGCACAGTTGTATTCAGCTTCTAACATACAACTTTGCTGCGTAACTGTTATGGAACAATAAAAATTTTATCATTTCATAATTAGGGTAGTAAGGTTCCCCCCTAGAATTATTGTGTGACACTTAAATGCAATAAACTTATATTTCCCATGCATAATATTTGATTTCATTTCATAAATAGGTTGTAACAGCACTTTTTTTGGACCAAATTGTACCTGGATTTTGAATTTTATATTTTGGACAAACCTGCTATTTTTGTTCTGCTAAAATTGTTCCAAGTTTGATTTTGATAAATGCTATGTTTTACTTCTTTTAATGCCTTTTCATGTACCTGTTATTATACTTGCTTTCATTTTCTTTCATTCTTGTGTTAACGATGTCTGTTTTTATAGCTGAACTGAATTAAAGAGAAGCCATGTCAGGAACTTTTTATGGAAAGCTGTTTAGATTCATATTTCACTGTTATGATTACAAAGACTCAAAGTTACTTTATTGTGAGAATGCAAGTTAACATAAACAGAAAATGTAGAAAGGGTCTTGGCTGATTTGAAGTCAATTTAACTATTTCAGTTCTACCATACCAAATTTTCATGAAAGTAACTTTTATTTTTCATTGCTGTCATGGGATATGTCATCCTGTTATCCTGCTAAAATTTATTTGATGATCTCATTTTTTCTTTCCAGAAATATAATCCTTTTAGTACTGTTGTAAATTGTTAAAGCTCTTGGTCTAATAAACATAACCTTGTTGAAATGATCCATGCTTATAGTATGTTGGTAGGAAGATTACATTATCTGATGGAAGAACTTCAGGTGAGAATTTAAGGCAGTTACACGTAGATACACTGTCCTGTGAGTAACAAAAAGGCAGCGATAAACAATCTTTCACGGGTGATGTGATATCCTGAGTTATCCAGTGGATATAAAAATTCTTCCATGACCTGTTTTGCATGAATATAAAATATTTCACCACGCACATCTATTTAGGATGTTGTGTTTTTAATGGACAGATCTTTTTAACCGAAGAGAAAACTGGGTGGTGGCAATAGTAAGATAACAACAGTAAATCTTGCCATTTGTAATGCATTCTCTTTTAGACCCTTTTTTTTTTTTTTTTTTTAAAGGGATAAGCTACTTATCTCATTTTTGGTGGTAACCAAATTGGGTTGAGACACTGGAAACTTATTTGGATCATGGAGTGCTTCGATCACTTCACCTGCGTCAGGAGAATTCTACCTTATTGTCCTGATTCTCTCCCCATGCCCCGTCTTCCATCTTTTCTCCAATCCTGCTCTGAAACTAATTAGAAACTGTTTCTATTAATAAAGGGAGCTAACTAAAAGGTTCAGGTGCAAAATGTGTCTTTTGCATTTGGAATAGGAAACAGTAGCTGTGTTTCCTTTTTTTCAAAGGGGCGAAAGAATATTATGATTCAAGTGAGGTGGTGTACTAGAGTTTAAGCTGGCTGAGGAGGAAGGGTTGATCTCAGAGAAATTATGGAACAGAAAATTTGCAGATGGTCACTCTGGTTGTGAGAATCCACAGAAGGGCTTTCCAGTTTTCCTGATGGATCACGTTGCTTCTGCCTTGAACTCTTTCCTGTCCACTTGCTGCCTGCTGCTTTGGCAGATGTGTTTGATGCCTAACCAACCTAAATCAGTTAGGTACTGAAGTACAAGAAAACTCCTGTCTGAGTTCAACTGCAGGGAAGTTTAACATGAGGCCAGAACAATCAACATGATTTTTAGCTATGTACTTTTGAGTGCACGTGCCATAGGAAGCAGAACGGAGAAAACAGGATTGCTCTCGGTTCTGGATGATGGTGGACTATCAGGATTGAGGAAAAAGGCAAAAAGCACATCTGTTCATACAGTAAGGAAGGCTGCAAAAGGAAAAGAGTAACTGCTGTTGGCAGCAGTTAGTGTCCCTGCATACCCACTGGCATGTCACAAGTACCAGTGAAGGAGCAGCAGCAACTGGAGAGGAATCACTGGGTTGATTCTGCTGTGGAGGAGGTGTGAGCACATCCTAGTCTGCCAAGGGCTGCTTGAGGTCACCAACTCTTTATGTGTGTGTACCACTTTTTGTGGTAAGACCGTGTGCCTTACTTGAGAATTTATAGACAAAGGACCTTCTGGTTTTTCTGTGCACATAAGGTGTGTGTGGGGATATAGGGAAATCATGAGCATAAAATATTCTGTAATACAAAGGTTTTGATTGCCTTTTCCACAGCAATTTTCAGTGTTCTAATAAAGGTTGCAAATCATTAAAGTCCCAGTGAGAGTAAAACTGTTAATTCTTCTGTAGCTATTTGCAGTCAGACTCATCTAGTTCTCTGTCGTTTGGACCTCCCTGAACTATTTGTTTTTATGTGTGCACTGGTATTCCAGGTAGTCCCTGAAATGAACATTTTCCTCCTGTTATTCTGCACAGGTGTGCTGCTGTCTACTGAAAACCTTTAGTAAGCAGAACTTCATTAATTCGTTTAAATGGGATGTGCTGCACAAAATACCTCATTTAGTCTGTCCTATGTAGCACCTAATAGACTATTCAGATTTTTGAATTTTTGCACACACATTTAAACACTATTGATTATTGAAATTATTATGTGTTCATGTCACCGTCACTCTTTAATATGTGGTTACCTACCTGCTTTTAATACACTGTTTGGTGGAATGTTTTGAGTATGTTTGTAATGAATTAATGGTTTCATAATGCTTCACCAACAGGCAGAAGCCGATAAACATGTGGGAAAATTGGAAGTTCATGAGGAGAAGAAAGTGAATAGCAAGCATCAGGTCACATCAGACAAGTTTTCGTTTCTGCTGGCATCAGTAGGTGGTGCCGAGGTAGTGTACAGTTGGGAAAAAAGAGTTCTTTTTATTGTTTAGGACATCTTATGTAGAGTGGCCTTAGGTTCTTCCTCAGCATGCCGAGTGAGGGCTCAGGCCATTGCCCAGCCCACTGACCCTTGTTCATCTGCTGACACAGTATCCGTCCCATACATGGGATGTGGGCTGTCCATGGCTACTGCTTTCTGCCTACTAAAAGCATTTCAGTTAAATGGGAGGGTGTTTTAAAAATTATCTTTTGTTTTTATTTTGCTCTTGATAGAACATTGCACTTGAGTTGTCAGCAAGACCACATAAAAACGGAGTGATCTTGGTTACTAGGGCAGCTAGACTAAGCCCAGAAAACAGGGTGCTGCATTTCCATAGCTGAAACTAAAAATGTTATTGCCATCATATGTACTTGGGGAGAGGGTTGTCATCAGAAGTGCTGTATTAATTATGCTGTGGAACTGATTTAGGAACCATCCTCAGAATCAACCTGTATAGGCCTTGACGATCAGGACAAAACATTATTACGAAATGGTACATTTAATGAGGAATCTGCAAAGTCCTTTCAGGAAGCTTTGCTTCAGTGGAGGAAAGGTGATCGTGAACGCAGAGAACAACGGCGTGCCAGCGAGGTCCTATCAGGTGTGGGGTTTTTAGGGTTTAATTGCATTTTAAAAACATCTGGAGCCACTTTGATGAGTTAGCAGATTTTTGATTAGTGAAGGTAGCTTTTGTGTGAGAATACTAAGTGTTTCTTAAGTTTTTCTGTGTATTCATTTATAAACGAACAACAGCCTCTGGAGTTTTTTTTAGTAATGTGTAGATTAGCATGTGTCCCAATTGTAATGAACTGTGGCATTGGCCAGATTGTTTAGCTTGTGTCTCTCTACTTCCCTATCGCATTGTTTCTCACATGAGACTTTGATAGGCACTATAATGCTGAAGCAGAATGTCACAGCTTTTAACTGAGACAAGCAATGAGCATGGCTAAGGAGTTTGTGCGTTGTATCAAAGTACATCTTCTGCTTGTCTTCCACAGGCTTTTAATATTTCTTTGTCCCAGTGAAAATATGCAATCCATTCAAGTATGGAAAAATATGAAAAAAAATCTTGTCTGATTGGATTTGTGGAAGTTGTTCTCTTTCCTGTAGTCCATGGATAGTGTGTGTTCTTTGTGTATTTTTGTACAAAAAATACTGATTACTGTTGTGTTTTTTTTTTTTTCTTTTTTTTTTTTCCCCTTCTTATTTCTGTGGCATGGTGGGATTTTTATCTGTGGATCCATGGATACCCCCTTCCCAGTGTGCCAATCTTCCTTTATTTGAGAAGCTGTAACGAATGAGTTTTTACTGGCTACCCCCACTGCTGACTGTGTTGTGTCAATGTAATACTGCTGGCCATCTACATTTTGGAATTAGGCAAAGACTTAGCAAGGCATAGACTACTAATGTGACATTCATTCAAAAATAACGTAATTAAACAGCAAGTTTATAAATCTGAACAGGTGTTTATTTTTTAAAAATATGTCTAATAGAATCAGTGGGAACTTGCGAGGTACAGACCAATGTTACTGTTATGAAGGACCCTGTCCAAATTGAATTCAAGAAGGATGGCTTGAGCTACATGGAGAAACTCTTGCTTAAGAAATACAGAAGGTATTGTTTAAGTTGCTGGTACTCATGAAAGAAGTCAGAAATGCTTAATAACATTAACAAAAATTCTTTTGAAACTTTTCAAATGTTAGTTGTATTATCAAGAGTTAAGGAGACTGTATACAGGGTGCTTTATATTAATAAAATAACCATTATAACCAGGCTCAATGATAATATTTCAGAGTTACTGCAGAGAGAGTATTTAGAGGGATTCTTTTGCTACCAGTTTATTATAGAATTTGAAGACTGGTAATTATATTTGGTTCCTTGATTTTGGGGCATTTGCTACGGGAGTTTTATAGAGTAAAGGAAGTACGACCTTCGGGATACTTTTATAAACATTACAGAGTTCTTTTGTTAGTTTCTGAGGTCCGAGATCATCCCAAAGAAATGAGGAACACTTGCTACTTTTCAGCAGCAGCAGCTAATACTGATATAGTAAATAGTGTGGAATTTTGTGGTTTTCTTGGTTTTGGGGATATTTTAATAATTGTGGTATATATGTAAAAAAGGATGACTTTTTAAGATTGATTTATTCTCCTTTTTTAGGACTCCTGGTGATCAAATTTCTGGCAATTGCTTTAAAGGTTTAAGGCCTGTGCAAACACTGAATGTACATGAGACTGAGACTGAAGGATGGGGAGAAGATGATGATGATGTTGGTGACTTAACAGGTATAATAGTTTTCTGTTTTTTGAATCTAACCATTAAATACTTTTTTTTTTCTGTGATTGCTGTACTGTTACATACTTAAGCAGTTTTTGCTTGAAGAAAGTAATAATGAAAGGTGAAATTTATGGCTCTTCATAATAAATTAAAAATTTGCATTTGTATAAGTGAAACTTGAACAGGAAAAAATGAAATTATTCAAATTAACTGTATTTTGTAGTTGAAGATGTGAAGAGATATTGGACATCTATTTTTAGAGAGGGAGTACCCAACACTGTTTCTGAAAGTGCAGAGTCCTCTTTGAAAATTGAATTCCTTGATGATGTAAGTAGGTAATAAAGGACTTAATGAGTCTTCACTGTGACCTGATTTGTTTAATTATTGTCTGTTAAATATTTAAGGTTGCAACAGCTACATAATTTCTAATATTTTTATATTTTTCATACAAACGTGGAAAATTTAGCTTTCTGAAGTTTCTGCCTAATTTTTTTTCCCTTGTTTTGTCCAAGAACCCTTACTATACAAAAATAAAATCTGCAGGATTCCAATCACTTGAGTTAATGTTTTTTTGAATTTTAATTCACTGCTAAATATGTATGTTGTTTTTTAATTAGTCTTATGGCAAGGACTCGGAAGAATCATCTGATGACTTTTTGGTGATGGAAGCTCGGACTATGGGAATGAATAAGCAAGGAAAAGCTGAACCGTTGAAGCAGTTTGGAAGGTATCAGAAAAGCAGAGATTATGTGGAAGAGAAAAGAGACTAATCCTATCTTCTGACTTAGCTACAGTCCTGAATAACAGAATGCTTTTGTCTGGAGACAGTCATACTTCATATGAACAGGGAGAATCCTTGATTGTAAATTGTTTTGAGGCATGGTTAAGATGCAAATCTTCTCATCCTTGGTGCAAGACTCGGACTGTGGCAGTGTCATGACTCTTAGTTACTGCTTTCTCCTTTACATTTCTTCCAAGATCCTCTCTGTGATTGCTGCTTTTGTGCTTGAGAGTTTTCCTATGAGTGACCTAATGATTTGAAGACTAGTTTGTAAGACATTCTGTGAACAGTTTGGCAGTTAAGAGCCATGGGACTCATTTACCATTGAAGTTAGTAAATAGTAAGTTTGTATCTTCAGCTTTGTCAGTGAGCCACCAACATTTGTTAATGGCCATAACTGGAGAGGCACCACTTTGAAATTCCTTCATTTTCTTCACTTATCAGTCCACTGTTAAACCATGTAAAATACATTTCTTCCTATGTGTATGTCCTGAATTACAGGTAGAATTTCTCTTTTGGATGTTCTTATCTCAGTAGGAGCAGGGACCAGTAGACAGACAAATCTGTGATTGGTCAGTGTTGTGTACTTGTAAGATACTTTCACTTGACTAATCTTGTAATTCGAGGCAAAACTAAGAGTCCTAATAATTAATGATAAATGTACAATTCTTATGATAGCCCAAAATTTATTTATGATTAAGTGTGATATTTTTTATTATGTTTTATTCCTCTGGTGTTTCATTTTTCCTCTGTTTC